TCGTATGAAATTAATTCAAATGAATTTGAAAACAATATTCGAAAGAACAATGATCGGATTCTCGAGGGAATGAATACAGCGATAGTTCTTTTCTGAATTTCCGTGATTATGCTCCAGCATACGATATTTCAAAACGATAGTATTTTACGAGTGCAGTTTAATAGGTACTTACATAATATATAGCTCGAATGATGTGATTTATACCATAATTTCGACTGCAAACTTTAACTATATATTTAACCGTGAAAAATATAGGGCATAGACTAAGTATTCTAATAATTAGTTATTAAATTATAATGTTATAGCGGTGAATATGAATTATGATTAAGGCTCGGAAGTTGATGCATTTTGTATTTTTTTTTTTTTTTTTTTTTGGAATTTATTAGACGATGCTCTTCTGGCCATAAATGTGTTTTATAAACATGTAAATCTAAATAAGTAATATTTATTTTGAAATTTTTTGCATTTTATGGCTTTTTTACTTTTTAAGTCATTTTTTGTCATTTTCAGGTCTTTTTTTTTTTAGTTAATTTTTTTGGATTTATAATTAAATGTCAATTAACATCTTTAAACTTTAAAGTTTTAACTTTATATGTTCTGAAGTTAGAAAATATTTCATATTCAAATAATGATATAGTTTAGAAATTTTTGGTAATTTCTATGTTCATTTTATCTAACATATTTTAATAAAATAATATACGTATAAATCCTAGGCCTATACATTATTATGATTGTGATTAGGTAAGTTTCTGTATCCATGTAATTAATAATAACGACGTTTTATTTATTATTAGGAAAATCTACGGGGTTTCCACTTGAAAATCTATGCATAGGTGTAGTAACAATATATAATATACCAATATATAATTAGTATACCTATATACTGGTGCTTTGACGTTGATTATCTTGCTGCCTTGATCTAGTACGTCGGCGTAGACGACTGCAGTGTGCACATTTGAGTGTATAAAATGTACACTATAAATGGAATGATATGATATGATATTATATTATAGATGATGCAGGTACACGCATAAATTTAACGTACAGTGTTAGGATATCATGAAACCCGGTGGATTAGTGTAACCAGCAAAATAATTATTATGTGTTTGTATAAATATCCCAAAAAAAATCAATAAAATTAAAAAAATCATACCTTCCGAGCTTTGCGTCCTCGTCCCTCTTCTTTTTCCGACAGCACATACCGAACAATATGTACAAGATACCTGTAGAGTGCGCATGAAATGAAAAACAAAAACAATGACACATTATTACATAATATTTTCAAATTATAATATGCTTACAACGAAGCATATCCGTGCTTTCAACACAGTTATGTATACGAAGATAACATGATTACGGAAAAGAAAAATTATTTATTTTTTTTATTGATGAAAAAATAACTCCTTTTATTGAAAAATGAAAGCATCAGATTTAATATACAATAATAAACAAATTTTTTAATTATATTTATTGTTTGGTAATATCATGTTACAGTATAGTAAAAAAGTTGTTCAATTTCAAGTATTTCTAATTAGTGTTAGTATAACCAGGTATCTAATTTATAAAGTATACATATTTTCTGTATGCTTTTTATTACCATTTTTTTTTTTTCGGAAATTGAGGATACCGCTACTGACGACGTTGAATAATATATGTTATCGGATATCAAACCGTAAACAGCAAAAAGTAATATTACAATTATATATTATATATTGTAAAAAAAAAAAAAAATATCTGAAGTTATATGATCTAGTATTTTTTGTGAATATGATGATTGAAAATATTAATATGTGGTATAGGATGTAATTTTTGATTCACTGCAAAACGAAAAAATTACGAGATGAAAAATGATCATTAGTAATTCAATGAATAATATTTTTACTAGGAGAAAAATTTCGAATATCTATATTCTATACACTGTAATTGTTTATAACTATAATGAAACAACAAAATAATGAAACTATTAGAATCAAAAAAGATGGTGCAAATTCATACCGATTGATTTAATTGTATGATAATGATTTTGGAAACAAATTTAGATACTTATTCTTGTCATATTTCGACTTTACTTGTAAATTTAGTTTACATTTTCACTTATAAAATACTGTATAAACCGTATGAATATTTAAAAGTAAATTACGTTTTTCCAGATAAATAAACGAAAAAAATAATGTAGGTATGATTCAAAGTTAATATATTATCAAACTGTTCGAATTAGTTTTTAGTATCAAAATTGCATCGTCGTATCAATTTGTAAAAGTGAATAGATAGTATTAGTATAAATGTTGCCTATACGGAATTCCTGATAATGAAAGTTGCTTTTTGAATTTCTTCAACTAATTTTTAAGGGATTTGATATAGGCAATATTAACAACTTTTATGAAATGTATTAAAAATTGCGAAAATAAATTTAATGAAAATTAGAAATTTATGCTCATTTATCATGTTAGTTAAATATCCATCCATAACGATTTTAGAAAAAAAAATCAATTACAGAAATATTGTAGAATACATTATTGTCTAGGGCTTGACTTACTATCAGTTTTTAGTTTTAACTTCTGGAATAGTAAATATTTAAGACAAAACAATTGCAATTTTTGTTCGAAATAAAAGGGCTAATTAACTTTTTAAAAACAGAATAATATTCAATTATATGTATAATTTTCATTAAAAATCAAAACTATTCATTAAAATTAGTTTTTGATGTATAATGTGTGCGTTAACATTCTCCTAAAAGAATGTTTTTAAGACTTTGGATATTAATATTATATACATACAGCGATTATTTATAGATTTTTAGCTGATTTACGATGAAAAGTAAAATATATATATTTATTATATGGGTAATACCAGTTGCTGAAATTCATAAGCCAAAAGAATACATTAATGTATATAAATATATTTTTTTAAGGGCAGATGTACATGTATCAATATGTACCGGATAGTCATCAGTCCCTTGTTAACCCGAATATGTGATTATATTTAATATGGTTAGTGGTTACCGTCGGTTTGACAGACTTACCAGTGTTGTTGGCGAAGTAACATGATACGTCAATGACCACCAACACTGTGAACAGGACGGCCAAGACGATGCTGATTATGACCGCAGAGCTTAGCCGGTTAGGGTACGGCGGTTGCATGGGAGGTATGTCCACGCCTGTAAACGAACATGGTAAATCATCATTGCATGTAATAACATATTATTTTAACGTAACATTATTCTATTTTCGTTACGCTTAATACGCTTGAACATAATAATTTGTAATTTATCGTTACCTATGCGCGTGCACCGTTCAAAAAAGGCGCATTCGAGACAAGATGTAGTTCTTACTTCTTACAATATTATAATAATTTATAATAATTATCGTAGGTAAGTGGAAAATAAAAAACAGAGTTAGCCGCAAATCATAACATATTAATGATTTTTCGTAATTTTGTGATTGGTGTCGTTCACAGGTAAGTACACATACATACACACACCCCCACACATATACACACATGCACATGCTATATTATATTATTATACACATTAAAACATGCTGCACCGCGTAATACGACAACAATAATATACTGGGCGAGACGTTTGTTGTTTTATCACATCGTCAACGATTGTGTTTCTTCGGATTTAGCGTATCAACATTATTGTTGTGTGGTACACGGTTGTGTAAATGAAACACAAAAAAAAAATAATAATAATAATAACAAAACATATTAGTAAAAATTTGAAAGAATAAAACCGAAGCGTTAGTGTAAAAAGCCAAGGAAACAAGAAGTAGCTGATATACGGGTAGGTATACGTGTATACGTTACATACATTGGTGATGATGTTATAATATACCTACGTGACAAATCTTTGTTATCTGATATAATATTATTACGTACATGGTGGCCCCGAGTCGTCGGCTATCAGATTTCGTCGCCGGCACGGGTCGTAGGGGCGCGAAGAAGCCACGAAAAGATAGAAGAATACACCATGCACTTTAATATCATATCCATAAACGCATCATACTCTTACCTCTTCGAACACGTCATTGCCATGTTTTATAACGGTATTATTATTATTCTTTTTGTTGTTGCAATGTTGCTGTTGTTGTTGTCGTTGCGATACATCATAATTTATGTATATTTTATACGTATATGCACACTGTGCGGGGTGGTATTATTTTATCGTAGAACGATCGATATCTCTCAACACGACCAGGCCCTTAAAGCTAAATCGAACCAACCTACCTAAAAGCTAAATCCATACTTTGTAATCTAACTGTTAGCTAGGTTGGCTCGGGGTTAACTCGAGGAATAACGATTGTCCCGCGATAAATTATAGCCACACCATTTCGTATAACAATAAATAAATTGAAATAATCATGCGTTAATAATTGCAGTAGTCACACAATATTATTAATTAAAATATTACTAGGATAAGGGGGGGTGGCTAGTATGGAAAAACTACAAGTTGACAAACATACACCAACAATCCGTTTAAAATGTATTAAAAAAAAAAAAAAGTATACGTTTATTATTGTCTTATTACATTATGTATAATATATCTCTAAATGCATTTACAACAAAATGTCATTATCATTATATATTATAGTTACTTAATAAGAATCTAAAACAAAATCAATGAATACTTTTTGTTTACACTTTTTATTACCTATATTAAAATATACAATAATAATAGTTATAATAATATCAATAATGGTAGGTACATTAATAAGATCGGTGACAAATTATACAGAATAATAATAATTAAATATCATAATATCTAAATCATTTATCTAAAATAGGCGACTATGAATAAAAGTGAGTAAAACTTAACTCTTAAGACTTGTTTTTTATTCCTATATTGAAAAAAAAGTACATTAAATAAAAATATAAATATAGCTTATATATAATATGTATGACTTCTACTCTATAATATTATTAGGTAAATATTATGATAATATTTAAGCGAATAATAACAATATTAGTCTCTCGGTCAAATAACTGTTTTCATATTATATCTATACGTGATGAAGCGTGGATAATATTTACATATACATGGTGTTAATATAATTTATAATATTAATAAAACACGAGGACGGTGGCTATTGATAATAAGTATGATGGTAAAAACATAATATTATAGTGGAAATTTTATTAAGTTAGAAAATAATTCGATAACAGGTATCAGGCAACATTAAAATAGGACTGGGGTAAACAAATATTGATGGAGTGGTTTTTGACGATCAAATTAGTTTTATTTTATTTAATGATGTATAACTGTACAAATACGCGATAAAATCCTCACATGAGACAAGTGATGTTTGCAAATAGTATTGCATACGTGGACCGATTTCGTGGTACCATTACAGTAAGCTACTAATATATTTTCACAGTAGGTCGAGTATTATCAATAACTGACCGAACGTGGATGAAAATCAATAGAATGATAGCTATAAAATATCGAATATTATATCTACATAGTATATTAAAAATACGTGACAACGGGGGACGACTGGGGGAACAATATTTGAAATAGATACGAATTATTGTAGAACCAATACAACGAACTGCTTTCGCCAACATATAAAAAAAACGAAAATAAAAATGTTTCCGTCGGGAAACGAACGAATGTAGAGATACGGACTGCAGAGCAAGTAAAATAATACCTGTCGTTGAAAGATTCGTAGTCGTTCATACACACATATACATTTTAAACATTTACATATTTTTATCACAATAGTTATACAATATTAGACAAGTACAAGGCTTAACAAGCTATTCAATAACATAATACTATACGTATATTATACCTTACCACATGTAGCAGCGTACTACACCGTAAAAACGTATATGATGTTATCACACACTAACCATTATTAAACGTTCCGATTTTTGTAGTCACTACAATATAGTATTATAATGTATTATTATTTGAAGTTAATAATATTTTGGTTGTGAAAAAAGAAAATATTAATTAAATCGTTCGCGAGACATGACTACGTACGCGTATAGAGATAGATGAATTAATACAGTATTATAATAATTAATGACGAGGAATAATTATATAAAAAGAATAAAATAAAAATACAGTGACTGTAAATCGAACGGGAAAAAATGAATAGTAATAATAATCGTCACAGTTATGTGCTAAAAATAATTCGCATGAGTTTTAGCGTAACCACCAGCGATTGCCGCCAAAGGAAGCAGCTAAGCTCAATGTCGACAAGGCGACAATACAATCGCGCACGGCCAATCGGTTAACGGTCGCAGCCGCGTTGATGACGGCCACCTTTGCGGTTTGCTCTGTAAATCACAACACATAACACACTTGGATATTACGCTCGCAGACATAGAAAAACAAATAAACAATAATAAATAAATAAAATATAAACAAACAAACAAAAGAGTGTGTATTTACTCTAGTTGCAAGACGGAAGATCGAGACAAATGACAGCGGTAATAACAATAATAATATGTAAGGACGATCTTGATGTTAAGGAAGAGCTGCAGTAGGACGAGGAAGAAAAATAAACAAAATATAACAATCGTACAAATAATAGACAGTTGATACTTTTATGTAGTATTTCTGCGATTACGACTTATTTGATATTTCCGTCAATAATATTATAGTACCATTTTCCGACTTAACAATAGTTATACCCCCCCGAAATTATTAAAAATATAATATATCTAAATTCAGAAAAAAGTTGGTAAGTACTCGTAAAAAAATAAGTGTTTAAATTATCATTAATTTATAATTAACGATAAAGTCAAACAAAATAAATGATAATTAATATTTAAAAAATGTAAAACAATGTATTTATAATATTGTGATGGCTTATTTTTCTATTCTATATACACACACATATGATGTAAAAGTGGTTATTAAATCCTTTAGTATACGAATAGTATAATATTACTGAATATATTATAAGTTCAACGAGATCTTATCAGAAGTTTAATACGGAAAGTGAGAATGAAATGTACGATTTTTAAATAAAATAGTACGACGCATGTATATTATTATCTCTACCACCTCGCTTATAAATCTTATATTGCCCACCTACAACAATATATTATTATTTATCATTAATTTAAATATTGGGCCTAATCACTCTATCTAAGAAATCGAAAAATTATTTTAATAAACTACACACAATAATATCTCAATACTATTAAATTTGAAATATAATATTTTTAATAAATAAATACTCAATCACAACTGCAGCCACGGCTTCCAGTCAGTGCTGGTCGCACCCTGTATTTTCCCCTTAATGGATGCAGTTTATTATGTTTTGATTGTGTTATTACTGTTATAATTATTATTTAATATATTTGTTGAATTATTTAGTCGGAAAATTGTGCGGAAGCCTACAATGGTAGTAGGAATACCCATAACTAAAGGTAGTGGTATATTTATATAATACGCAATGAAGGTTTTAAGTAATAAATAAATGATAGATTTTTGATTTTAGAAAAAAAAAAAATGTAGTACATAATGTGTACTACTGTTAGATCGTGACGTATTTAGTTAAAAAAATCTGATATTTAATCTGTACATCAATAAATTGAACTGATCTTTTGGATTCAACTTTTAAATTATACTTATATTATTTTTAAACACAATATTTTTGTAAAAATTCAAGTTTTATTACAAACAAATTTATCAAGATCTTGTGGTGAACAGTGCTTTTTCGTATCATGAAACTAAAAATGAAATAATTTTATTCTTAAACACCATGCAGTTAATAATAAAAATAGATATATAAACACATAAATTCATCTACATCCTTACAGATTATTGTAATTTAGTTTTTTTTTTCAGTCGTTTTTTAGTCTTAGTCGCGTACTTGTGTTAATGACGGCAATTACAAATTACAATATAATATTAAATACCACAACCTTATTTGTGTTCTCTTCCGATATATTAGTATAATATTATTTTACTATGAAATGGTTATACGTGTAATTCGATTTTGCGAGAGAATGTGATGCAGAATACGTGTTCAGTTCGAAATTAGAAAAACAAATTAATTTGATTAAAAGAGGAATAGTTGTGTTTCAAAAATGTTTGGTAGGTACACGAGCATTATTATAGATTATATACAACAGTTAAAAAAAAAAAAAAAAAATACAAACGTTTGAAAAAATAACTAAATAAACTAATTTAGACAATAAAATATCATCAAAATGTCTGGAAATAATAAAATTAATTTTACATCGATTTTTTTTAAAATGTGTGTTTTATTTGTTTAATGGTATCAACACTAGCTTTGATATATATATATATTCCATATGTTTTTATTTTTCCAAATAATAATACGCATTTTTATTCAGTGTAATGAAAAAATATGCAAAGAAAAATGTTAGAAACGTATATATATATATTAGCTTGCTAGTGATATGAAATATAATTATATATAAATTGTATTGTTCTACGTCCTTCCTAGATAAATAATAATAATAAAAAAAAATAAAAGTCTTCAGCCCTAATAAACACAATGTAACAACAGTCATTGTTGCGTCGACCGCAGAATGTTTGGTCGAGCACACTCTTGTATGCGGTTTATTACGAGTATATGAACTTGATTCGGGAAACTATGTAACAAACTATTTTACGCCGTCGCACCGCCCACCTATCGTTTTACAAGCTAATAATAATAATAATTTTGTACAGACACAAAAGGGTTGAATTCGTCGGTCATGCCAAAGCATATAAATTGGAACAGCGCGATTGCAGGGTATATTATATTATTATATAGATATTTTATAACACAACACCATTAGGTGGTACACGCAGAGTACATGCACACAAATACATGGAAAAACGTAATTTACTTTAAATCAAAAGTGCACTATAAAGTCTTTCAGTTAATATCATACGTTCCTTATAAAACATACATTATTTAATATCAAAATTATAATTTAGGACTTTTTAAAATAACTAATATGCCATCGAAATTTAGTAGTATAAAGTTGATATATAAAGACATGACAGCATTGTGAAAAAATATTTTTTGAAAATCATAATTTGACTGAAAAAAATGTGTGAAACTATTAAATAGGAGAACATCATAAATTGAATCAAAATAATTAGGACTTAAAAAATGAAGATAAAGATAAACTATAGCAACATTCTTTTAATGTTTCTAGGAAATAAACTATTATTATTATTGTTATTGGCTCTTATATACAAACTAAATTTATTGTTAAAAAAAAAAAAAAAAACATGAACATAATCTATTATTACATAATAAAATATAAAAAATGATCAATTTATTAAGCTTGTGATACATTTACGTTTGCGTATAAATGATATATCTATTACAATATGTAGTCTATATCGAGTAAATAAAAATGTCTAAGAATATAAAATAAAAGCCGGTTGAACATGGGTCGAATTTTTTTTTTCGACCGAATTCAATAAAAAACCAATTATAATTTCTTTACGTTAGGAAAAGTGGGAATAACGGCCAACGTCTCTTGTTTTTCTGCAGCGAAGTGTTTACATTATATAATATTAACGAAATAATGCAAAAACGTAAAACGTGTCGTTGTCATTCTACAGTCTGTCACTTTGTCCCCGTATTAAACAAAAGGAATTTTTGTTTCGGCGGCGTTTCAACAAACGTTTTGAATAATTAATTTTTTTCGAATCACGGCAAGCGAATGTCGTATTTATTTTAACTGAATATAAAGATGGCAACAAATAAAATGTTGCATTCAGATAGAGCATTACGTACGCTGCGTATACACTTAAAAAATAAACAGTATTAAAACTTAGAATTATAAACACTGTTTCTATTCGTTGTTGACAATTTAACGCGCGTCACGGACGTTAAAAGCCATTTTAAACACATAGCCGCTTTTAAATTTGAGTAAATAAATACGGCGGACAAAAGAGCCGGCCCACAGTCTGGTGGTGCACCGTTGTAAAGCGGGCACACTCATTTTTTTGTAAAGCTTTCTACACTCTGAGAATTTTTTACGCTCGTATACGCACATTCTATATTATAATACATACAACAACAAAAATAATGTGTAATGCGAAAAAAAAAGACGTAGGCTCGTGTGAGGTGGCGAGTTGTAAGAGTAGTTGTACGTATCTGTGGTAGTGGTGGAATGAGGGGTGGTTGATGCGAGTGTGGTAGAGGCGACAAGGGTTGTGATAGAAGTTCGTGTGAACTATGTAAAATCAACACTTGAAATATTATATATGTACCTATATATTGCATTGTAAATAAGTGCCAAGAGCGGTCGTATTTCGGAGAAGTCATTGTCTCAAGGGAGAGAAAGAGAAAGGAGAAAAAGTCAGGTAAATTTTGTGTCAAGACCACGGACGAATAAAAAAAAAGTAAAAATAACCCCGGGTAGATTGTCGACTAAAGGTAGGAAACAACAGTGATATAATAACCATAAAATAAATAATATTATTACTATCACATATAAAACGTTATATTCAAATACGGCCAACGATATTGACGGTTAATCGGCACGCACAAACATCTGTTTTGGAAAACGAACAGAATCTGATTGTTATGATTAGTTTACAAGAGAGGGTATATTAGTATATAATCTCCATTATTGAAATCATTGATCCTTCTACCGATCGACACACCTAGCTGTTGTACACATCGCATTTGTACCGTAAAAATATCAAAAGCTTTACGTTAGCTTTCACGACTCTTTTAGTACGCAAGAAAAAAAAAGCGTAAAAAAATGCCAGTTATATAATATTATACTAACGAAAAGAGAAGCATCGTCTTTATACGTCTAATTATTACGTGTACTAAACATTTAATAAGTCGTTGTATATTTTTCACCGTTGTCATTATTATTATGCAAAGTTTTTTCACACACGCTCTGATACCATTTCGAGTCGGTGGCGTGCCGGTGCGAGATGACGATGAACAAAAATATGTCTCATTATGTACACTATATAATATAGTTTGTTTGCTTTTAATTCTGGAAGTATGCTGTTTACGTACAGTTGATAACATAATATTTTGTTGGATATTTGCAGTAATTAATTATATTACAAACGTGTTATATATACATACATATATATATATTTATATATATACATATATATTATATTATATAACGTACTACATAAATATAAATTATAATATTAAACTCTCACAAAGATTCGTTGATGTGTTAATGAAAAGCACGATTAATAATTTGTAGGTACCTAGGTATGTATAAAATATCATACGAGACACTGATGATAAGAAAAAAGTTTTATCTTCAAGTTGGAGAAAAATAAATCTATAGATATTTAGGTTTTATTGTATTAGTAAAATGTCTAATAAAATTATAAATACAGTAAATTGATTAAAGGTTTTTTTACCATAGAAAAAAAAACAACTAGATATATGATCCATATTTTTCTTATCTTTAGCGTTTCATGTAATATACTAGGTACTTACCTATATACCTATGCAATCATTTTATTAATATTGAATATTATGAATAACACAAATATGAATAAATATTTATTGCGTTAATAACAATAATAATAATGATTGACATTATAGTATAATTTATTATAATAAAATGAATAAAAAACACGAAACACGTTTTTAATAAACCCAATATGCATGCAGTTAAAATAAATATAAACATAAATAGCAGACGCATCCCGTTTGCCATGGAGAATAAACAGTTTGAAGCTCTACCAATAATATAAAATATGTAAAGAAACAGCACAAAGAACACAAATATGACGAAAAATAATAAGAATAATACTAAAATAATAATGATTAAAAAAAAGGCACACAAATTTCACACGTTTATGATGTAATATTTTTTTAATGTCGTTACGTACCACCTATATTACAATCACCAATCACAGTATAAAATATTTTTACATATCTCACATGAAATCATTTATGCAATTCCAATAATATGTCATGCTAAACATTGTGTACTTAATTATTGCAATTTTTAATGTGCTTTGTGGAGACGATGCGCGAGAATCGTAATAATGAATACATCGTGACATAAAGTTAGGTATCGTACCTACCTATACTGTACCTCTCTACTCATTTACACTATACAACTTGTGTTTGTGTTTACGCAGAACGTGGTGATTTTTTTACACCAAACTGTTCGTTCATTTGTTAAGGTAAACTTCACTGTTAATTAGAAACAGTAAATAACAGGATACATAGATACTACTGATAAATAAACCGTCAAAACATGGTACCTACGTAAGCGCACAATCTCTTTTGGAATATACGATTAAATAAGCTGTGCCTATACTAATTGGTTGCTATGCGATATTTAAGTCGAAAACGTAGGTACTTATTTGTATTGCTGTTTTGAAAATAAACGTAAACGTTTTAAAAGATTAAATATAGAAAAAAAAAGTTTCAACAGATTTTACGTCTTCTCAAACTAAAAACGTAGCTGTACATTATACTTGCGTTAATTAAAAATGAAAGTTTAAACTTTTAATTAAATCGTACATAGAAACGTTTTTAATTAGGAGGTTATTATTATATACTGCTTACACGAACTGACAATCCGCGGACTCTATCTCCGCTCTAAAAAACATACAGCGTGATACAAAGAGTACAAACGTTTTAATACCGTATATTTATTAAAACAACATCGCAGCGTAAACTGTTCATTTTGTTATCGTGTAAAAGTAAAATATTATTTAATGATAACTATTAGGTATTATCAAGTACTCACCGGTCGCAGTCTTGAAGACGAGTTCCGATGGTACGCTAAATCCGATATCGTTGTGAGCTCTGACTTCCACTTTGTAAAACGTGTCAGCATTTAGATTTTCCATCAAAAACGCAGTCTTGTCAGGAGACCTGAGGTCTTCAGACCGACACGAGTCTCTTCTAATTGTCCATACCGTGTTTACTTTGTCAGTCTGAAACACAGAATAGCAGCGATTGACGAAACGATGAAAAAATAAATATATACTTTAAGGTGTTATTAAAATGTATAATAATATTATCGAAAAAATAGGTTAAACGTAAAAATACAACGAAATACAAACAAATGAGTATTTACTTTCAAAAGAACAACCCTGTATAAATGAATGATTGGATTTTTCAAATTATAGCTATTTTATGCATCTTAAAAATAAAAGGGATTTGGTAAGTTTAGGGTAATGTACAAATTTTTATTTTGGGATTATTATTAAATTATAACTGTTGATAGAATTTTTTTTTACAACTTTAAAATTTGGGTGAATAATATTTACTTACCACGCAATAGTTAACATTGTATAGGTTTATGGGTTCGCCGTTGTCAGCAGGTATCTTCCAGTTCACTTCGTAGCTGTTTCCGTACGGAGAGATAATGTAATCTTCAGGGTACATATCTTTGCTGACCAATATTTTAGGTTCCTCGGGCGCGCTCCTCTTGGGCATGGTGCGCTGTTCCTGTGAACCCCAATCGCTAGTACCTACATCATTGATGGCGGCGAACCTGAACTGGTAGGTCCTGTGCGCTTCTAAACTTTCCAGTATGTAGGGCGTGTCTAATAAAACAGGTATAATTGTTATTTTTGTTCTAAACATTAATCAAAAAAAATGTTGACAATGTGTGTATAATAAGAAAAACAGACGACAAAATCAATTTACATAACAATTCTAATCAAATTAGAGTCGAATTAAAGCGATTGGTACTTGTAGGCATACACATTATTTTAACTCCCAACATCACATAGGTAGTACTAAAAATATCTTTCTACAAATTTTATTTATCTTAACTTTTTAATTTTTCAAAGCAAGTTAAATAAAATAAAATGATTTAAATAATTTTAATACATGTATTATTTTATTATTTTAAATAAACTTAAATCTGTACTGTAAATAAAATAATAAATATAATTATGAATAAACAATAAATAAACTGCAGAATTTGTATCTTAATAAAAGTAATCATATTTTAGATACATTTAATGCATTTGATTTGTAATTGATTTTTATGAAATTTGTATCAGCAATATACTTGAATTGTGCTACTATTTACGATAAACACACGAGAATGTATTTTGTAACTTGCATAACATTTTTTTTTACGAATTGTGTTAAATGTATACCTATAATTACAAAAACATAATACAAGCGATTGCTTGGATCGTGCTTAATGACAAGACACAAACGAGCTATATGCTAACGGTTGTATACATTATGTACCACGTGTGGGTAACGGGTTATGACTTATGTTATTTCGTAAAGATTTCGGTTTAGAAAATTTGTTGCTTTCACGTTGTTTTGGTACATAATATATTATTATTGTTGTGTATGCCATTTATAATTAACCAAATTATAAAATGACGGAAATCGTTAAACGCTAAGAAATATTAATGGAGTTATTATTGTGAAAAATACAACCACACCCTCTCCACAAATCAGTTGGGGGGGGGGGAAGTTCGGCTCCCCTCATCGAAGCAGTAAATGATTTAGCGTATTTGTGCTATAAATTACGCGTGTTGCAGTACTTACCCACTGGCCAAGATTTATTGCGAGCTTCTTCCCACGACTGCGACATCTCTTTGTATTGAACGGCGTAGGCTTTGACTTTTATACCTCCTGTGTCTGTCGGACCCACGAAACTGAACGAAATCGTCGTAGCTGAAACGGACACAGAGATAAGTTGAAATGAAATAAGTATTTACATATAACTAGGTGGATTATCAAACAATCGACTAACATTTACTGTGTAAATATGTTAAAAAGGACGTAAACATCTACGTAAACTGTTTTTTAAAAATCAAAAACTGCCAGGTTAGGCATGGATAAATGGTTACTTGAGAACTAAAATCTTAAAGCTGAATAACCAAATCCTCACGAGAGCTTTTTGATTGTTTAAATTGTTTAACGTAGTTTTTGTTTAAAGGATATCACTTAAACAACTTTTTTTACATTATAGCTGGAGGTGATATAGAAAAAAAACAAAAAATATTGCACAGTAAAAATGTCCATCTTTTAATGGTAATCATTGAGCTACATATCTATATAATTTTGTTATTTTTGTATGGTATAACTTTAACTCTTTTTTGCACGAGGAAGTTTTCTTTTAGATATTATTTGGAAATTCCGCAATAATTAACAATTAATGTTCAGTCATAGGATACTACTTGTAAATTACTAACTCGAATTGAAAATTATTGTAGGTTGATTATATGTTTAGTAAGTATTTATTTAGTTTTCTTAAAATAAGCTAAGACATAGAATATACAAATATGATAAAACAAAGAAATATACAGGCATGGAAATTATTACCAATAATTTTTAAACTATCATAAAGTGAACATAAAGCTTTATCTAATTTGAAATAAGTTGAGTGATAAAACCTATGTTAAATTTAAGGTAAGGCACATCATGCTTGTTTGTTGTACCCGCAAATAAATTAAAAACTTATTTTTCAAAAAAAAAAAAAATCACTGATTTTATAGATTTTAATTTATTAGTATTGTACATGTTAGCAATTATTATTTTTCACTTTACTTTGGATTAAGTATACAAAAGAAAAATTGATTATTACTTATTCGTATAAATAGTAATTTGTGGACAGAATTAGTTATTAATTCTATACAATCTATAGTATATATAGACGCTACAAAATAGGTCGTACTTATGAGTATTATAATTCATAATATTTATAATATTTTTTGTAAAGTCATTAAAATTGTATGTATACGACGTCTTAAAAAGCATATGCAGATAGATTGCAGGGGTAATCATAAATTCCAGTATCCCACCACTATTAGACATTTTTATATGTAAAAATATTACTCAGACACGATTTTTTTTATCTAAAAAAATATTTTTATTTTACTGGTAAAAACTAAGTAGATATTATTTTTTAACAATTTTATTTTTATTATTTTAATATTATATAAATTAATTGTATACCTATAAAATTGTACATAAACAATATTTTACAAATGTAATTTTTTTTTTATGATATCGGCGGAGTTTAATGTATTCCTTTTTGTAGGTCATAAAAACATACGGCTACAATTCATAGATATTATCATGATAAATGCTACCCTAAAATCGGTGGAATTTACATACTGGCACCTGATTGCAAAGTTTAATAATCTTAATATAGACAGAAATTTAGTTGCTACAGCTTATGATTCTCGACGCGGGACTTACCAGTGATAACTTCGAACTTGGTTTGAGACACTTTGGACGGCCGGCGTGCTTCTCTAAGCGTGATTTGCATATTATTCTCGCCGTGTATGTTTTTTGTAAAGCACGTGTATACTCCGTAGTAGCGTTGGTCAACCGGTGTCACTAGGAGGTTGCTGTATGGGCCTTTGCCAAACTTTTGCACGTTAATGTCATCCTCCACCATTCGATTGTTGAGCAGCCATGTGATTGACGCGTTTGGTAAAGATTCAGTCACACACGAGAGGTTCACAGGCTTCCTGTTCCACGTCCATACCTCCTTGACCATATCGCTAGCATACACTGGAGGAAACTCAACAGTTAGATGCCCGTTTTTTCTCGCTTCACCACCCTGTGACAAGTGATAAAATTTTACAATTATTTTAATATTAATATGTAATTTAGTAATACTATTAATAGGGTGTGTATTGATCACTTAATTTGTATACTTTAAAACAGGGGTCGGCAACTTTTTTAACCACACGGGCCATTTTTTTTTTCAATTGTTCATCAAGGGCCACATTAAAAAAAAAAAAATTACATATTATGATATAATACTTATAATTGTATTACTATTATGAAACGGTTAGATTAGATTTTATTTATAAAGGAAAAAGAATTATATAATATTGAAAATTATATGAAAAATGTTATTGAATAAAAGTAAAACACAAAAATTAACCACCTTTGTGCGGGCCATTAAAAATTGCTTTGCGGGCCGCGGGTTGCCGACCCCTGCTTTAAAACAAAGTTAAGCAAATTATACATTATGATTTTTGGAATTTTTAAAAGAATAGATATACAACATAAAAATCATAGTATTTTTTAATGTCTATACATAAATTGGCTATGATGCGTTTTGTGACAATACAAACTTATTATTTTTTTTTTACTGTTAATCTTTAAAAATAAATAATTTTTGTTTTACTTTTAACATTTGGGGAAACGCTATAAAGTCTAATCTAAATATGATTCAGACTTTTAAAAATGTATCTTTAAGAAAAATAGTAAACGCCCCTACATATTATCTAACCATATCTCTACACTTAGATTGTAACCAAAAAATAATTCATGATGAAGCTAAATGTTTTTACAAAAAAATTTCGTAACCGTTTATCTACTCATTAAAATCCTCTCATCGAGAACTTATTATCTCTTACAATACCAGGTAGTCTTCTAATAAAACTCAACGTAAATGGTGCAAAGATTAACTACATTAAAAAATAATTCAATAAAACAAAAAAATATAATAAAATCTTATCAACTAAAACACATAAGACCTAAACCAAATTGAAAGTGTCACTAGTGGCTTCTTTGCCAAAATTATGTAACTCTTATTTTTATTTATTTTCTTAAATCTTAATGCATATATATATATATATATATATTATGTTCGTAATATAGATTGTATATTTTCTTCTAAAAATTACAAAAAAAAAAAATAAAAATAAATTAATATTCGAACTAGTACTTAGTTTCCAAGTTATTTTCATTTGTATTTACTTAATATTCTATAATAATACGCTTAAAGATATATGAAAACAAATAATTTAAACGTTATAGTCGCTATTTACTTAACATTAATAATAAATTGTATATCAATACTATATAATTTGTTAAAATTTTCTGAGGACAATTGAATAGACTAAATATTTCATCTACTTTATATTTTATGTAATACTATGACTAAAAATGAAATGATTATTATATATACGTATATGTATATAAATTGAATAACTGCGATGCTATGCTATATAAGTGTAATTCTTATAATTAAAAAGTTTTTATTGACATAGTTCATATCATATCATTAAAAAAATATAAGTGTTTGAAACTATATGGTCTTTAAGTACATTATATTTATAATTGGAAATTTTAATAACTAAAATTTAAAGAAATTAATTATTTAAAGAAAAAAAAAAGGGGAAGGGGGTGAACATGTTATGCTTGGTGAAACACATTGTTGTAATTAATAATACGCTATAGTAGTTATATAACTAAATAGGTGTATACACGAGTAGATAAGAGTGGCAGAAGAAAGATATTTATTATGGGAATAATATGACGATAGTCTCTCACGTGGATTTATATAGTATACCTAATAGGTATTATTAAAATTCATTTTTGTATATCACATCTATAAGACAAGTATAGCAATAGGATGAAAAATTGAAGGTATAGGAATTTATACTTTGTATGATCAGTTGCAGAGCTATAGCTGAATTCAATATACTTACAATTTGTTAAAAATACATCATTATAAGTAAATTTACTAAATATTGACAAAATTATTTTTGTTTTTTTTTCTTTCTAGAATTTAAAAATAATAGTGAATAAATTAAAAAAAAAAAAGGTTTTGATACAACTTATTTAATGCAATTTTTAAAAACTGATAAATATTTTATTTTATGTCACTTTTGCTAGTAATCATAAAAACTACAGGTTTTGCAAAATAGTTTTGTAAATGCAATTAATAGTATTGTGAAATGAATATAGATGACGTACATTATAGAAATTATTTAGCATTAAGTTCTTTAAGGAACAAGGAGATAATAATATTATGACAGATAGTTCTCATCCAATTTGATGCTTTCTTCAAAGTGGCAAAAACATACATTGAATTCACAGCCCAAAAAATACTATTTAAAAATAATAATTTTAAATAGCTAATCGTGGTAGAAAAGTTTTCTAAATATCACGGGTTAGGTACTAACACGGCAGTGTTCGGACAAACTAGGATGGCGGTCACAATAGTTATATTAATTATAGTTGTATGCGGTCGCATAAATAACAATATTCAGATATTGATCAGTTTGCCTTCGACTAGTGTTTGAAAATTTCTTATCTTTGATATATATATATATATATATATATATATACGTAGCAGCTACCAACATTAGACGTGTTATTATAGTATAATGGCTTTTGGGCTTTGGCTTCGTTTGGCTGATCGAAATTTTAATTATTGACATGCCGTCGGCAAAAGTGGCTTTGCATGGCCGAACCATAGATATATCTATAATAGTAAATAATAATTCAAATGCCGCAGCTAACGTACCTTGTTCAATGCGATACACGTGTACAGTCCGTCGTCGGATCGATTCAGGTGTTTAATCACAAGAGTGGCCATTGCCAAGTCCCCAACGGTGTCGTGCTCCACACTAATGCGATAATCTTCGATTCCCGGTTTTATGACGACGTTCGTGCCCACTCTCCTGTAATTATTTAGCACAAAGTTTGAATTAGTACCTAATATTGTTATTATATAACCGTTGCAGCCGATATTTGTTAGTTAAATACCGTCACCACACAGCCCCTTAGAATAAAACAGGCATTATTGAAATCTCTATATAGTCTTATAATATTGATCGCACGATAAAAACTTCTTAATTTACGACACATTTATGGAAGGGACGGCAGCTGCGTCTTCTTTGAATATTATTATTATTCAGTGTTTCTACAACGCCTACATTATTACGCTACGATCTCGGTGGTCTTTAATAACGTAGCGTGTCTTGAAGAAATGCATTGACTTTCATAGAATATATACTTATATTTATTGTATATCTCAACAGCAGACTTGGAGTAGTTAAAAATTCCGGCGGCCCGAATAAAAGTGAAACGGTAGTATATACATATATTGCTGCAGCAATGACTACATTATCTTTGACTTATTTCCGTACTACAGTATTTTATATTTTTCCTACTCAAACTTTAAATGGTTATAGTTTATAAATCTGTTTTATTTTTATTTTATTAAATTAAGCTGTGATACATTCATAATATAAAAAATAGACGCTTTATTTAAAAAAAAAAAAAAAAAAATGTTTTTTTGTTTTGTTTTAAATTTACAGCAACATCAAAATGTAAAAGTTTCTTGTTTATTGCACGATTTACAAACAGAGTATTACCGAGTTAATCTTAGCTACGTTATTTATTCTAAAAGTTATGATCAAATTAAATTAAATTATAACTATATTTAAAGACATTAATATAAACACGCTTAAGCGCGTCTTGTAGTGTGTACCTATGATTTTTTTTATACACAACATTTTTGATGTATGTTTAGATTACGATTAAAGTCATAGTACGTCAGTGGATTCGTGATATAGTTTTGTTTATTTGTTACAAATTTTTTTTTTCAGTCTTGTGAACATGTTATTAAAATATTATATTATGTTAAAGTAAACGTGTGTATAAATCTTTATTACATTATTTAATTATCGATAATATTGTTATTTAATGGGATTCAATACCGAAAACATGCTTATACGTATTTTATGTATTGTAAAAACAAAACTAGTGGCAAGATAAAAATATAAATTTTTGGAATTTGATGTGAATATTTTTTTAAGATTGATACCCTAGTTACTTTTTTTATTTGATTCTTTTCTTCCGTTAATTTTTTTTTTTTAATATAAAACGTGGGAACGTTTAAAAATTTAAATCTATTTTAAGATTTCTAACTAGATTAATAATTTTTAGTTAGTACAATGAACAAACCATGTTTTGGATGCAACATATTACTATTGTTGACTATAGTTTGATTACATGTGCATGTACCTGTGGTAGCTATCTATTTATTCTACTCACACGTGATAATAATTACTAACTTTATACACATTCATTGAAAACACATCTAGAAAGTTACTTTATAGAATTTTTTTAAAACGGTTGTTGTTATCAAATTAACAACTAGAATAGAAAATATTCAGTATATTTGTTATTTTGATTATTTAAATATAATAAAATCTACAATGAATAATATTATATTAATATAAAATGTTATAAATAAACGAAAAAAAAACAAAATTTTAATAAAATATTATTCATGGAGATTATAATTAACACTGAACCACATCTAAAGTATAGTTTTTGAGACCAAATAATACTATTGAGTATTGAGATGCAATAATATTATATAATATAATATTGTTTTTGTAATTTTTGTAATAACAATATGTACATAATATAAGCACATATTTACAATAACATTTTAAAAGTAGCATAATCATCTACGTTATTGCAACGATCTTTAAGATATTATAAATTTATAATATTTCCTCGAAGTGTCCAATCGTTTTATACCGTTTCATTGTAACAACCTAATTAAAAACTTTAACGATTAATTATTATTATTTTACTGATTATTCGAAACGGAGTACGGAGATCGTTTATTGTATAACGTGTTGTACCAACGTCAGTAGCGTTCCCGATGTTTTCAGACGAGAAATTACTTGTTGTAGTCGTCAAAGTTCTCGCGTATACCGTTAAAGTTATATGTACCTTTGCAGTGTAGTAACTAGTAATTAAAACAGTCTAAACTCTAAACTAATCGTATAATATTCTTGAATTGCAATCGAATTAAACGAACACACACCTACACAACGTAACCCTACCCTACTATATACGCGTTTATTTGTGTAAACGTCTAAGTGTAATATATACGGTATGGTTCATCGTAATTATTATTTTCTTGATCAACTATTCTGTCAAGCATAATTTAATAACTATAAAATGTAAAACGTGGAATTATAACTTAATTTTAATATTCTAGGCTAAGATTTGACAAGTTAAAACGTTTGGTACATAACACGTTACTTTTGTTATTTTCAAAATAGCAAGTTAAATTTGTTCATTAAATAAACTATACATAAATACCATAAATCAAAAAGATTTAAATTGATTGATTTTTATGTTTTGTTTAAAAAAATTTTTTTTAGGTATATATTACTGTGCACTGTGCACTTAAACTTAAAATGGGCATAGTTCTAAATTGTGTACTATAAAAAGTAACTGATTTTTAACTAAGTTAAGATACTTTTTTTTCTAATTAACTTATATAACTTTTACAAATCAAAAAATAAAAATAAAAATAACTTATAACTTTAAACTTAACTTTCATTTTTATATACTAACATAAATTATTAACAAGTAAAAAAATAAAAAAATAAATAGTTTATTTTCCTAATTTTGAATTAATACTGTACGAATATTATAGGTATCGTATGGAAAAAATTGTAATTGTCATATTATTTATAAAACTGCATGAGTATAACTAAAATATTATTGTGGTTTTAGATTATACTTATAGGCGGATGTTTGGAAGCAATTTTGGTGTAAGGGAAAATATCTACGGCGTGAACGAAATTAAACCTTAACACGATAACATATTTTAAACAGGTATTTTTCTTTTACTAGGCAACACGAGAAACTATAGCTTTATAATATAAAATGTACAATATGCCAAATACGAGTAGAAGAAACGCACACGTTGTTATGAAATGAAGGGAAACTGTGCGAGTGTGTGGCATATTTATTTCGATTGTTTGTAGTGGACGTTTGGAATCGCGTGTGTACATTATAACGTTATATAGAAATAAAACAACCGTGAAATGAAAAATTTATATTATAAAATGACTTTTAGTCACAAATATCTAAAATATCATTGGTATAAATACCTTCAAAAGCCCTAAATCCTATTGTTAAGACATTATAACCACTCAAAAGCTTGTTGCTTATAATAGTCTTTATAATTTACAAATAATATCTTGAGAAATTTAATAAAAGTTATGTATAATATTCATATATTACACACATATATGTATCTTTTAATAGTTTCTAATATCGTTATAGAATGTTAAAGGACGTCTCCTCGTTGGTGATGTTTAAGGAGAGTCTATATAATATTAACATTTTAACGAAATATTATCAAAAAAAAAAAATAATAATAATAATTAATGAAAATAAACGCATGTGCGACAAAAATTATTATAAATTAAATTTCAAGATAGTTCAATATCATTAATTCTGTTGTTTGTCACGTGATTCGAAATAATTGTGTAGTAAATTAACTTTAATAATGCCTCACGTACGTGATAAAGTGTTTCTTAAAACTTATTTCACGTTGGTTATGTATAGCACTAGTTGAAACCAATTATTCACATATTTTTACAATAAGCACAAATTATGTTTATAAGGTTTATATAGAATAAAGTAAAATACAATAAAATAAATTAGCCAAGTTTCATAAAGAATGAGTACTTGGATGAATGAGAAATCCATTGATTGAACTTCGTGACTTGAAGCAATGGGAGTTAGTAAACTAGTATATATTACGATCCATTTTAGTATAAGAGGAGAATTTTTCTCCGAAAAAAGTTTTCTTTTTTTTAAATGAATAAAATTTGATTTCTTAACTATATAAATGGAGCTTTTTGATTCTTTTCTGAAACTTTTTCTACGTTATTTCATAATTACGTAACAACCAAAAATAATATTGACATGGGACCACTTATAAATTGCTTTGATTTATATAATATATTGTATTTAAATATTTAAATTTAAATGGACCTTAGAATGTAATTAAAAATTGCCTAGATAAAATCCCTCACGAAGGTGATGTGATTTACTAAAAAGTGTAACGTGGTGTGTTGATACATATTTTGTCGTATTTAATTTTCAAGATTATTTTTTTTTTAAATAATTTGATTTATTATTTATTATTGTAACTTTTTTTCATACACAATACACATATACTTAAAAATAGTTACATTTATGATATGCGTTCAAAAATATTGAGTTATTTTTCATTATCATAGTAGTTAGACTGTCCAGAAATGTATCATTGATTGATTCAAAAAAAAAAGATGCAGTGCAAATCTATAACTAACAAACCTATTTGTCTTTACCATAAAATTGTCAACGAGAAATCCTCTTGTTATAAAAGCCTACTAAATGGACACGGTTGTCCTCGATCACGATCCAAATCCGGAAATATCCCTTGAACGAAGACTTACCTGAACATGATCGACGGTAGAGGGTTGCCATTTGCACTACACTTGACTCTGGCCTCGGTATTGATGGGCACGGATACATTGGTCACGTCCAGCACCTCTGGTTTGATGAGCACGACTACGTTTACCAATCGCTCGATCTGACCAGCCGCGTTGTTAGCTACACACTTGAATTGACCGTTGTCATTACGACTGATACGATTCAGGCTCAACACGCCCGTCAGCTTGTTCACGGAGTACCTCTCAGTACCCTCGCTTATATCCCGCTGATCCGACACGTGTATCCAAGTTATCTTGGGTTCCGGTTTACCGTTGGCCGCGCAACGCACGCTGGCCATCTCGCCTTCCACCACTTCCAGCTGGGAAACTTGGTCGGGAGCAAACGTTGGCGGGATATGAACCTATGCGAAAGAGGAAACAGGCATAAATAATAATATTATTATTTATGTACAGGTATACTTATGAGTCATGGATCTACAGTGGAGTCAAGCCCGATTCAATTCTAATCATTATCCTACCCTCCCACTAATTATGCAATATACATTATTAATTTAGCCTATCCAAGTGTGTATAATTTTGAGCAAATAAAATTTATTATATTATGCGTAAAAGGTCTTCGCGTAGTCCCATTACAAATGTGAGACAAATTTTATACAACAGTGTTTCGTTTTTGATTAACTTGCAGAAAGTATTAAATTATCTGATAAAATCGAAATTTCATGGACAATTTAGTTGGATAACAAGGTTAAGATTTTAATGAAACGAATGTAATTGTAATGTTACAGCACTCACTTCGACTCTGATGTCCCGGTCCAAGATGTTACCCGTGTCCAACACGATGGCTCGACATTTGTACAGGCCGTCGTCTTCGGCTGTGACGTTTTGGATCAGCAGACCGTCTATATCCTTGACAAAACCGTTGCCGTCTTGAATTCTGGTATCTTCTTTGTACCAGTCGACTAATGGTGCTGGATTAGCCTTGACTTTGCAGCGCACTTTGTAACTAGTTCCAGCAATCGGATATTGTTCAGTGGGAGCATCAACCCACGTAATATCGTCTTTAAAGATAAATAAAAAAACAACAATAGCAATAAATAGACAACGAAAAATAACTAAATCGATTAATTTCAACGACTTACAGAAACTGTCCACAATCACGCTGCGGACCAGATATTCAGAATTCGAGTATGTGGCAGTGCATGTATATGTGCCCACATCCGCTTCGGTGAGACCAGTTATCACCAGTCCCAAATTGTTACTGGAGGTAAACGTTGTGGTCACGTGTGCTCCGGCGGTCCTACAACGACACAAATTGAACGTCAATATTAAAATGTAGAAGATATATGTTTATATGTTATTATACGTATAAATAAAACACGAATCTCCGATAAATATATACACAAACGCACACATATATATGTGTATATATATATATTGCCAGTTAATATATGTGTTTGATGATATTTTGATTGCGATGGTAGACAACCGTTTTGATTTTGTGATTTTGGGGCGAAAAATAGTAATAAAATTGTGTTATTGTATCGGCACACGTGTCCTTTATACTATGAACTTTATAGTGTATTATATAATATATCAGCTGCAGCTTCCACCCTCTTGTGTTCGAATGATATATATCCATGGGGAGTTAGTTTTACCAGAATTTTTGTAAATACGCATCATTACGAGAGATAATTTAGACACAGCATATGCGTATCAGATACTTTATTAAATTATGTATAATTGTATACAAGTAATACGTAGCGGCCATTGTTTTTTCAATTAATATTACAAAAATATTTACTGTAGCACAGTAATTTTATTGTAATTATAATACACTTAACATAATTTTGGCTTCCGTGAAAGTGTCACGCGTAAACAGCTATATAGTTATCAGCTCTCAGGATGAATTTTCAATGAAAATACAAGGGTGCTGAAGCCCTCTATTTTACAAAGTGATCAACTATAACCCACCATCATATAAAACATCCTACATAATAACATTTAATACATGTTTTGTACAGTATAAAAAATAATAATAATTTATAAAATTAAAAGTAATTAATCAAAAATGACATAAATTATTAGGGTGCTGAATTCAAAACGGTGGTACTATATGTATACAGTCAATATTTTCTGAATTGCGTCAAAGGTTACCTATTTGTAAGCATATTGCATATTAAACACGTATTTCAATCAATATACTTACGAGGTTTGATCGATCGTCCTGTTCTGCGGATCTAGCCATTTGAGATTCCTGATAAATTCTGGTTGGTCGACGTCGGGCTGGCAATTCAATATCAATGATGAACCAATTGGTTTTGTTTGTTTCGGTTGTGTCGGCCTGATGATCAGCGAAGGTTCTTTGGCCATGGCGTCTGAAAAAACATATGATCACATATTATTATTCAGAACATATACATAGATAGTGATTCGCAATCGTAGCGGGAATTCATTAATTATTACTCCGCATTTTGTCACAAAGGGATACTAGAGTTTTGTGACGAGGATCATCGATTCACTAACTGCAGTTTTCTTGGTTGACCTTTCCTGAGTCACTAATGGATTTCATTTTCTTTTCCACAATACCACAGCGAGATTTCGATTTCAATTCAATACACTACTTATGTCAACGCTCCATAAATACATCTACCCATACAATATAATACATTTTATATTCTTAGCGCCCCTCACTACACATTTATGACTTTGATATTAAAATTTTGTTTTTCACAAGTTCGATGAACACAAAATATATTATACGTATATATATGGCATGTCTGTTGGCATAATATAACTATAACTCAAAGAATCCAATAATTGACGAATGGAATAAAAATAACCAAATGGCGTGAATCGTGAATTCCGGTTTAAACAAAAAACACAAGCCAATAAAATATTATAAAATAAAAACTGCTAAATAGTTGATTCGTTTGAATTTACAATATTAAAAACAGACGCCGAACGAATTGTTAAAAAAAATAAAATAGGTATAGTATTCGTTCTAAGTTTCAACTACAACAATAATAATTGCGTAAGAGTATTAGTGTATTATTATTGTGATACCCGTAAATATAATAAAGCGTTGAACCGGAAAAATAAAATCTGGTTGTTATTTCACCGCAAAGTTTCTCTACGATGTATTATAATAATAACATGTATTTCGTGGCAGATGCTAAAACGCGTACAGACGAATTAAAATTCTGATCCAAACAACCCTCGCCCCAACAAGCGATCCCTGAATTGAATATTAATATAACAATAACGAAAAGGAAAAAAATAGCATCTAACGAATTAACACGAAATGGTTTCGTTGTATGAAAAAATAAATCCACCAAAGCTATAAAAGTATAATATTATTATAATTTAAATTTCCATTATATTTACGTGAGTGTTTAACTCGTTTTAGTTTTTAACGAGATACACTACATTTATGCGGCAATAATAATGATCAAAATTGCAATGCATTTATTTCATATTGTGTTGTATTTTTAACCTGTTTAAATTTATTGTTTATATACGTATAACAGGTGGCCTTGACCATGGTTCGAAATATTTGTGAATTCAATATTATATGATAATATGTAAATGCCAATTGTCTGGGATTAATTACGTTATACTAAATGTATAATATACTATACACCTTTTATTAATTTATATTACCTGTGTGGTAAAAAATCTGTCACCTGAAGGTGAATTTTAAATTATTATCGTATAATTTCTTGGAGTAGGGTGGATTTGGGATTTGTGCGCATCGCCGCCGACAGTGCTGTGTAGGTTAGTGTCGGGATCGATTTGGCTAGGCGATAATTTCAAAAGAACACTTTATTTATATACATACACACACCACCATATACCTACTAGGACACGAATTTACGTCTGCGCAAGTTCGCTAGTAATAATAATAAGCCCCCCGGTGCACAGGTCGGTTTACGATACGGTCGCCCGCCCAAACATCGGCTCTGCGACCCCGTCGTCGCGCTAGGGAAACACGCGCCCTTTGAATTAGTTATACCTTGTTTACACAACAATTCCCTTTTTAAGGGTGGCACACGCAACTCCACCACAATTTCCCACTGGACCATAACAACAGTGGTCTGGGTGGGGTGTTCGGAAAAGGACGGGGATTTAAATTAATTTGCCCGGAGGTCGTTTGGTTTCTCGGCTATAGATGTTTTATTGGCACCAGGATTTACCGTGTTAGACACCACGTTGCAGTGGCGATGTACTATACACGTCGCACACACACGTAGCAGAGGGATAATGTATATGTAGGAAAGCAATACACAATTAAGTGTCTCCTATATATGCGTGTGTGTATACAACCACTTTCCTGTCGCGTAGTCACTACCCCGGGCCGGAGAAACGAAATAATAATGGTTTACTCGGCGTGTAAAAACAACAACGTACCTACAACCTCGCGAACGTTTCGCCTTATTACATTTGGGGACGTGAGGTAATAATATAATTTTATTACCGTTGAAGAATATATCGATATTCGGCGCTAGGTATTTCAAAACTATCTTGTTCCACAGAGTATATATTATATATAGGTACTGTAATAAAGGTCACGACTATCAAAATATTGACAGTAGCTATATATATTATATGGTCAAACAAAAATACAACACAAACACATATACATACAGCACAATTTGTTCAAACGTATATTATTATAAAATATTGTCCTAGAGAGAAGTTTTGAAGAGATCTACTCAAGTAAGTGTATAATATAACATATTCATCGGTTGATACATTATTTTATTGTATTGTTGTTGTAGTTGTTTCTTTTTTAGTATTCTCGACAACGTTAAAGTTTATGCGTAGAACTTTTCAAATCCATTTTTTAGTAGATTATTATATTTTTATTTAATCCGACTCGTTCATAAAATTTTAAAGAACCGTAATATATATATATTCGAATCACCAATGTAATGTATATATTATAAAGTCAAACAAAAGATTGTATGATAATATAAAGGATATAATAAAGCGGTTGGCAGTAGCAAAACGCATGGCATTAAGTTCTGCAAACGAGCTCGTAAATTAAACGATATTATACGATTCAGTTTTAACAAGATTTAATTACACGAAAAATTATAATTCGTTTGCCGAGCTATATACGCACACACATTACACCAAGAGGTTTTTATCGTATTTCACATAATTTGGATTTTGCCCATTTTTTCACGTTCTTTGCTGCATTCTTCCACAGATATACCATTAATTCACTCGGCGTGTGGGGTTGGAAATTTAATAGTATGAGAGGACAACAAATTGTTCTAGATATAATATTGAACGAATGATGAAAAAAGTAAGTTCTTAATACATAGGTCACATCATAAAATATATATTTAAATAATTAATGTGTAGTAAAATTGTATTTAATAATTCACAAATTATTTAATTCTTTAAAAAAAAAAAATGAAATCATCATAATAATAATAATCAAGTCGATGGCTTTGAAATTACGCTATGGTTGAAAAATTAGTGAACACTATTCATATTATAATAACGTTAAGGTTCCATAATTACATTTTGGTAATTTGGTTTTGTATATATATATATATGCGTATACATGGTTTGTTAGCAATATTGTACCGTTTAATTAAAAACTTTCAAAGCGCAATAAGAGAACGAGGGTTGAAAGCACTTCTTGGGGACATTGAAGTGACGACGTCGTCGCCGAGGGGCGAAGAAAATATTATACGCTCTACTGATTGAGACAAATAATACGAATTTTGTCGGTTAAAATTGACAATTCGATAAGCTCGGAATATCTATAAATGTCCACCGTTAGCGGTAATATCATTAGAGAAACGATGGAATATATTATAATAAATATAAATATTGCGCTAGGTAAGTACTTATTGAGATAAAATATATAAGCTAATCACACTCAACATAAGGATAATTATATTTCTTTTTTTTATACATAAATTGTGAAAATTGTTGATTCATTTTTATGATAAAAATTATTAAAATTAGATATAAATAAAAGGATTTAGTTTAAACTGTATGGTTAGTATAATATATTAATTAAGTTTTATCTGAGAGATATCATAACATTACCAAGTGTAATTTGTAGAGCTCAAAATATCCGTCTCAACTAAACAATGAGAGTATAATATTGTTGATTTGAATTTTAATTCGAAAAAAAACAATACTGATAATATAAACTTAATTATTTTGTGGTATGTATAGGTTTACAACACTTGAGTATAAATACGAGTACATAACCGAATGAATACACCAAGTGCAGCACTATAACATATTTTATTGTATAGATAATATGAGTAAAAACCGTTGGAAGCCCACATGTACCGCAGACGTAAACATTTAGTAAACTTTATGAATTGGTAAATAATGTCGTATATTATGTATATAATGTCGATGTTAAGACCGAGTGATTAGACATGTTTATAGAATTCGGATATGAATACATATAATTCCAAGTATAAAAAGAAATCGGCGACTAAGACATATGTTGCCTTTTTTTCTCTATAGTACTTAATCATAGTTATAACGATCAACCACTCCTAAAAACCAAAATAATACTTTATTGTAAGGGTATACATTTATATATAATGATTTTTGACGATGGCAATTAGTCTGACATTTGCGCCGGTTTCTATTGTGCGCACGAACGGTTTCCGATGAATGTGACACAATGCATGTCGCGCATATATGTGGAGGAGAACTTAACCGTACACCACCGATAGAAAAACTTTGAGACAAAAGGTTTTTAATTGATTTTCGCAGCACGGCAATAGAGTGCATTATATCCATACATATATATATTATACGTTTATGTACAGTGTAGCAGTAACGAGGGTATTTTCGGCACACACTCATATATACAAAGTAGTCCCCGTGACCGGCATTATTATATAAGTCTTTGATAACTATATATATATATATATATATATATATTTAGACGAAAATGTTTTGTTGTCCATTACTTCGTTCACGAAGTGCTGAAAAAATGGTAACGTTTGCTCTATATAACAAGGACCCCAACCGTCGACCAACAAAGAATAAAAATAAATAAAAACGAGAATTTTAGTATATAATAGAGCTTTTTGCGACACCTCAATTATATAATTTACATTTATCCAATATTCGCGAACCACGGTGAACAAATTAAAATAATGCACATTACAATCCTACTCGCTCTATACATACCTGCACGTAAGTATATATAACATTTCAGAGATGATTTTTATTTTAAAAATCTATTGGGAAAACTTTAATAGGTACATTATTATTCTTGAGGATAATTATAACTCTGATTGTTATTTATCAAACGGAAATTCTTTGTGAAAAAAAAACATAAAACTTAGCTAACGTTTTCTGGTAATAACAATATTACAATACA